GGATGGATGGATGATGGATGGATGGATGATGGATGATGGATGAATGGATGATGGATGGATGATGGATGGATGGATGGATGGATGGATGATGGATGGATGGATGGATGGATGATGGATGGATGGATGGATGGATGGATGGATGATGGATGGATGGATGGATGGATGGATGATGGATGGATGGATGGATGATGGATGGATGGATGGATGGATGGATGGATGATGGATGAATGGATGATGGATGGATGATGGATGGATGGATGGATGGATGAATGGATGATGGATGGATGATGGATGGATGGATGGATGGATGGATGATGGATGGATGGATGATGGATGGATGGATGGATGGATGGATGGATGGATGATGGATGGATGGATGGATGGATGGATGATGGATGGATGGATGGATGATGGATGGATGGATGGATGGATGGATGGATGATGGATGAATGGATGATGGATGGATGATGGATGGATGGATGGATGGATGGATGATGGATGGATGGATGGATGGATGAGGGATGGATGATGGATGATGGATGGATGGATGATGGATGGATGGATGGATGGATGAATGAATGGATGGATGATGGACAGATGATGGATGGATGGATGGGTGGATGGATGGATTCATGGATGGATGGATGGATGGATGGATTTACAGGAGGAATGAGATTATTCAGCAGTGTTTCCTTCTCTCCCTGCAGCCTTTCATGTCCCCCCGGTACCCTGGAGGCCCAAGGCCACCTCTCAGAATACCCAACCAGGTAAGGCTGGTCGCTGCTGCTCTGCTGGCCCAGGGTGAGGTTCTGTCCCTCTGCTACTCACTTCTGTGTCAAATGCTTCAGTCCCTGCCCATCCCTGCTAGATGTACAAATTATATTTATTCCACAGTAAATACGGGGATTATTGGTGAGAAACAGGTCTCATGAAGTGCTCTGTGGCACCCAAAGACACTCTGGCAACTTTCTAAAAGCGCCGAATTCCCAATTTTCTCTCATCGCCATCTAAGGATGTGCAATGCCAGCGAGACAAGGATGAGTAATGAGCTGCTGTTCGTCAGCAGGGACCTTTTCTGGCCCATCTGTGAGAAGAGGGTTCTGGAAGTAGAGAACATTTGTGTTTTCAAGTTCTCCACAGTGCAGAAAGAGGAGGAGAAAGAGTTGTCAGCAGATGAAAAGTTAAAGACGAGCAGACAGAAAAACATCAGTGGAGCTCTGAAAGGAAAACTAGGTAATTTACAATATTGGGAAAAGTAGAAAGGATAAATGGAACAGGTAGTTTGGTTCAACTTTGGTTTCCAGGACTGCCTTTTGATTGTCACACTATATCCCAGCCTCATTTCTGGCTATTTTTTTATATTTGTGTAACACAGTTTCAACAAATTTGTCATTACTTTTGACATACTATCACCAGAAGTTACGAAATCTAAATTTCAGCGAGCTGGGTGTATCAGGCGGCCAGACTTGTCCAGGTGATGTTTGGGATCAGGTAAAGCTGCCTCTACCAGGGCTACTTCCTCACCAAAGCCCTGAGGGACTTAATTAACCTTGATGAGGTAATCATCTGTGCAGTGCCATTAGTACTGCACTTAATATCTGATAACATTTTACTGCTGTAGCTCGGTTCACTCCTGATTTTTGTACTTCCCAATACTATCTGAGCCAGAGGTGTCTGAGCCCCTGAGCCAAGGGTTTGGGTTTCACACGCTCTGTGCCTGAGCTCAGTGAATCCTGGCGGGTGGGATGTGGTGGCTGAAGTGCTGCCAGCCTGCAGGTTTGGTTTCAGAAGTGTTTTTGTCTGCACACTGTGGTATTTTCAGTCCAGAGTGGAAGGTAACCCATAATCCCAGTGAACTGCAACTCTTGCTACATTCACATTATGCCAAATTCATTAATTGCTGCTTTAGCAGCACTGATATTACTCAAGCTACAGCGTGGATGGGCAGGGTGTGGAAGCAATAAACTGTTGTGGTGCAGCTTTAAGGCCGTAATTTTGATTAGGTGGTAGTTTGGTCCTGGGATTGTGGAAAGGGTCCCTGCCCATGGCAGAGGGGCTGGAAGGGGATGAGCTTTAAGGTCCCTTCCAACCCAAACCATTCTGACATTCTGCTCACTCAGGATGCATTTTAACTGAAAATGTGATGGTGCTTTGAAATGCTAAATAGCACCTCATGGATCAGCTACAAAGATCCATTCATAAAAGCATTTTTCCACTTGACCCAGCTGTAGGTAAAATCCTGTAAAAATGAGCTTTAAACCTAATTCAGTAAATCCAGAGGGCAGATTAATGTGGGAATTTAAAAGCACATTAACACCATACTCAGAGGAAACATCCAGGAATTAGGAATGAAACGTGTGTGCTGTGTCTTTAACATGAATTTCAAGGCATTCTGTGCTTTTCTGCTGTGTTTTCCCTGCCCCAGGCCCTCGGAGGTGTCCCGGGGAGTCAGCCCCTCCTGCCCAGCGGGATGGACCCCACACGGCAGCAGGGTGAGTGTGGCATCTCCACAGTGCTGATCCTCAGCCTTCTCTGGTAATTAGAAAGGATGATTCATCACAAGTAGCTGTAGAAGTGATTGTGTCTTGCATAACTAAAGCAGTTGTGTATTGCATATATAATGTATTTTATATTTTGTTCGCAGGTCATCCAAACATGGGTGGGCCGATGCAGAGGATGACTCCTCCAAGGGGAATGGTGCCATTAGGACCACAGGTACTTTCTACAGAGGGGTTATCCTTAGTGACAGGCCTATACTTAGTCTATATTCTCTGTCTTGGCTTAGCTTGGAGATTCCCAGGACTTGTTTTCATAATCCCTTTTTAAAACAAACAAAAAAAATCTCTTACAAGTTGCAGCTGTACAAAATCAAAATGAAAAATCTGTCATTTTCTTAAATATTTGGGATTTAAAGAAGAATCCTGTCACTTGCTTTCTTTAGAAAAGTGTTTTTTGCAATCAAGGACTGACACTGGCAAGGCAGACCTAGAGTGGAGTCGGTGTTTCCTCCTCCTCCTCCTCACTGATTATGCTGTTTAGGAGGAAAATATTAATACCTTCTCAGTTTGCCCAAAATACCTCTCCAAATTCTGTAAACTTTTTCTTTCATGCACTGTTGATGTAAATTTTGTCACAGGCAGCAGAGATTTTAATGTAAAGGGAGATGTCCAGGCTGCCGTTTGTCCCCCTGAGCGTCTCTGGCTCTGTCCCGGGGGACAAGGACAGGCCCGGGGCACCCCTGGAACACAAATGCAGGAGTTTCCTCTGCGCTTTGTCTGCGCTCCAGCCAGCAGCACGTGGGTGGTGGTGTTCCTCACTGGTGCTGCCAGTGTTTTGTGTCACAGCGTGCTTGTTGTGCCCACACTGTGCATTTTTGCTTCCCCATTTCAGATTATCTCCCTGGCGGCTTCTTGTTTGAATAACAGCTGAACTCTAAATTATTGAATAGCTTTGCCTTTCAAGTCTGTTCACAACTGTCTGTACAGTTTTGGGTATTTTTGCTACAAACCGGTTGTGCAGTTCTTCACAATCTCTGCTGAGCGACTGGCAAAACATATACAAATATAAAATAAAAGATATTTGCTATTTTTCTAATGTAGCCCTGAAATGTATTTGCCCTTTTTGGAGGTAGAAAGAGAAGCTCTGCTGTGCTGCCATATGAGATTGAGCTGATCCTTTGTGCAGCACCATTAGTCACACTGCAGGCAAACCTCATGCCACTTTTTAGGAGGATAATTTTTCCATTTCTGCTGTCATTTAAGATCCAGTGTTTTTGTAAGCTTCTTCTTTCTTGTGCTCAACATCCTAACCTACACAAAATTTAAGTACTCAAAATTTAAGTTCACAAATGACTCCCTAATTGGATCACCAAATTCCTGGGCTCAGCAGAGAGCATCGCTGCTCTGGAAGGACACCTCTATGGGTGGCAGTGCTGTTATTCAGGCCAAAGGAGTAAATCTGCTTAGGATTAGCAGTAATTACAGGTGGAAAATTGTCAGGTGAGACAGATTGTTCTGCTTCTATTTCATTGAATAAAAATAGGTGTAATTTATATATTTTTTTGTAAGTAGTGCAGTCAAGCTTTGGTCATGGTATCAGGACATAAACTCAGATTTCATGGGTGTTGGGTATTAAATTTTTTAGCCTTGCTAGGACATTATTTACCATATTAAATACTCTTCATTTCGATTATCAAAGACCTGGGGTAGTGGAAAGTGTCCCTGCCCAGGCCAGGGGTGACACTGGATGGGCTTTAAGGTCCCATTTTGGGATTCTGTGATTTATTGGAATTGAATCGTGGAAAGAGAAATGTAATAGTGCATTAGAAAAATTCTATCATGTGTTTTAATTTTATACAAACATAATGAAATCTAGGTAGAAAGAACACCATTTAATATCTCATAATCTTAGTAGGGGGTTCTGATTTTGAATTGCCTTGGTTTAGAAGTTGACCCTTGCTGGCCATTAACTTGAACTCAGTATGTGTACATAGTTTAATTCCCCCTGAAACCACGTTAACCGTTCTTAGCCGGTTTCTGTTGTTTGTGTTGTTTCTCCCTGGGGTTAATGATCCCAGTTTTTAGTCAACAGTCAGGGAATGCTGAAAGCATGAATGGCATGGCCTGTGGTGGCAGCAGTTGTCATTGCACAGGGATGTCATTAACCTGCTGTCCTTTCTTTCCCCCTCCCCTTTGGTTTTGTTTTTTTGTTTTGTGGTAGTCTGACCCTTGGTTGTCGTTGCAGAACTATGGAGGTGCCATGAGACCCCCTCTGAACGCTTTAGGTGGCCCGGGGATGCCTGGGATGAACATGTAAGCACAACACCAATCCTACTGTACATGGAAAATGCCATTATTGCATTGCAGAAGGAGCAATTGGGACAGACAGGGCAACGAGAACGTGCTTTGATGACCAATAATTGCAATTTTAAGAACTGAACCCGCAGTCTTACAGGAGCCTTGGCTGTCCTAACAAGTCTGTACAAATACTCAGTTTCTTTCACAGATCAAACTTCAAATGCTGGGAGTATTTTGTCAATATAATCACTGATACATCCTTGTACGCATTTTTAAAAATGACATTATTTATATTTCTACCTACCAAATATCTCGTGAGGAATGCTTTTTCTCTGCAAAAATAAATCAGAACTTAATTGCAGCAAAATAGCCTTTGTGTAGAACTGTTTACAAGAAAGACACAATGGATTTGAAAGTCTTCCTCAACTGCAGTTCTTGTTTCCTTAAATACATTTATTTCCAGTCTAAACACATAGAGGAGGTTTACAGATATGAGTGTATTTCTGTCAGTGTTTCTGTGTATTTCTGGGTCTGGAAAATCATCTGATAAAAATGGATATAATCTGAGTTCAGATTTGTTCTAAATGTGAGCGTAGCCGTGGCAGGGTGTTGCACCTTGTATCCCCGAAGACAGCCCCCCTTTTAAATGTGTATAAATATTTCAGATGTAACATTAAGGAAGCAGTAAAGATTTCTATATGCTTTCTCATTATATCATAGATACCCATTTTTACTCCAGTTTTTATAGAAAACGTAAATAAGAAACGATAACTTTAATTTCGAGTAAAAAGTTACTACTGAAGAAGAAGTCAAAGAGGTACACAAATAGATAATGTAATTTTGGAAAAACCACTCTAACAGGTTTGGATTTCCAGACATACCTTGAAATCTTGAAGCAGATAAACTAAAATCTGAAGTCGTGTGTTGCTCTATCATATGCCTCACCTATGGGGATTTAAGACAATTCTAGGAGCCTTCCTGAGGGTAGGCATTTATGGCTTTCAATTAAATTGATGTGGAAAAAATACTTAGACATTTGAAATTCAGTGTGAGTCAAGTATAGGCACTGTAGAAGTTTTCCTCAGCAGAAGGCTGTATAAAAAAAAGGAAATTAACTTTCCTGAAGTAAACTGAGGGATGGATAAGATATTTTGAAACTCTTTATTGACATAAATGAGAGTTTCCCCAGGAAAAATAAGAAAAGAGTTTTCTGTATGACCAAAAGATTTCCTGGCCTGCCGGAAAGAGAGAATATGGATTGAAGTACTTACACTGTGCTCTTTATAAACACATTTTACCAAAGGGTTGCTCTGAGTTGGGGTTCTCTGGATTGCGTTTTCAGGACACGAGGGCGTTTCCTGCTGTAAATTTGGTGCTGTCTCTGAAGCTGCAGTGAGGGCTGGGCCGGGGGCAGTGCCACAGGACGGACCCAGATGTGCTCCCCTCACACTCTGCCCACGGTGCCTCCGCTGGGGAAATCACATTTCCCTGCACGTGAGGATGTCCCTTCCCACCCGAGTGTTTTCTGTACTCGACAGTTCCCCGCTGCCCTGTGCTTCATTTTCTTGGGGTTTTGGCCGTGTCGAGTGCAAAAATGTGTGTTCTACAGAAACAGCTGCTGTTTAAAATCCAGCTTTTCCTCCTCGGGATGCGAGGGGAAGCTGCTGTGGTTAGGAGCAGACTATCTGCCATATAAAATGTGACGGTTTTCCTGGGTGAGAAATTGTTCCGTGTGGTCAGAAAGGGCAGCCTGAGGGCTCAGCAGGCAGCGTTCAATGCCCTGCAATCCCCACCTGCAGCCCTGCTGGTGATTCCTGCCTTTGTCTCAGCAGCACCATCAGATTCCTGCTGGGCACAGCTGATGCCCAGCCCATCTTCTTCCACAGAATAACTTCATTTTGGGCTCTAAGCTTTTCACTTGGAACTTGGCACAGCCGTTTTTAGGAAGGTTTCATGTCTCTGCCAGTTTTTGGAAGAAAAAGGCAGATTTCAGGGAGCTCAGTGTTATATTTCACTGGAGATTTTTAACACCCTGTGTGACCTGCAGTGCTGTCTCAAGCGCTAAGAATATCTCAGTCATGCCTCAGATTTAAAAAAAAAATAAAAGAAAAAGGTGTGATTTTGTCTTTTAACTTCAATTCACAAACTTGAGTCTAGATGTTTCATTTCCTGGTGGAATATATTTGCCTCTTGGGAAACTGAAATTTCAGACTTTCATTTTTTCAAGCCAGGATTGACACTTACAGGATAAACTCTAAAAAAATTACAGAAAAAAAAATGGTCATAGCCACAGAGACCTTGTGAAGTATTTTGGAATTGGTGCTTGTATGGTTATGTTTTATGACCTTGTTGGTGCTTCCAAAATAAACATTTAGTAAAAGACAAAAGACCTGCTTGCATGGAGTTAAACATATTAAAAAATTGCAGTTTGGGAGTTTTAATGTGTGTTTTATAAGCATTTGGCTCCACAAAATCCATGTGGCTTTCCAGCAGAATCTGCTGCAGTGATTTCTAAGTCTGTATTTAGAGCTGTCCAATAAATCTGAAAATTCCAACACCTTTTTAGATGAAAGGTGAGTTCCCATGTCTCAGTGTAATTTCTGAGTTTCCATATTCCTGTGGCTTAACCCAGTTTTGTCTCTGAGTCAGTACATGTCACAGAAATGAGTGCAAGGGTTTGGGGTTAAAACAGACCTTTAAATGTTGTTACAAATATTCCTGGTTTTTCTGAAAGAGGGGATCCAATAAACCACTGAAAAATAAGAAAAAGAACAGCAAGACCCAAAAAAAATTTAATATTTCACTATGTGATCATCAGCAGAGGAGAAATTGCTGAATATTTGACCTGAGGAGCATTTTCTCTCTCAGTGGTTCTTTGAATGATGCAGAAAAGACCATTCCAGCATTCTTGAGTTCTATCATTCCAACAATAAAGGCAGTGGAAATAAATAAATTTTCTGGTGATTTTTTTTTTTGGAGATCGTTCCTTTATAGTTTCATCAACAATGTAATAAAAAAATAAGATTCAATATTAAATCCCCCAGGCAATGTATGCACTTAATAGCTTTTATTTCTGCAAGACTTAGGGAACTTTCAGAGCTCATTAATGGAGGGTGATTCTTTCTGTCTGTCCCAGTCTCTCTCCCATGCCTGGCGAGCTGCAGTGGTTGATGTTGCTTTTCTACAGCTAATGAGGCCAAAAGGCCGTTGAAAATGTGAAAGTTTTGTCATCTGCTCTGCCTCTCTGTTGTCAGGGCCTTCAGAAAATGATCCAGCCCTGTTTGTAAATAAGCAGGAGCTCTTGGTACTCCCAGAGATAATTATGGGTTTGAGACATTGTGACTGTGAGCATGGAGATTTTGCCTCTGGTGTGTCTGAGTCCCCTCTGCATTGTTAAGAGATGAAGCCTCACCCCCAAAATATTTTTCTGGGTTTAGCTGAGGGTGAGAAACCTAAAATAACAGCAAAAGTTGTGAGAAAAGCCCTCTGAGGGTTTTCTGGATGTAACACATGACATTTATATCATGGCTGTTGTTGTTCTCATCATGGTCACCATCACCATCCTCATCACCATACAGGGATCATAGCAACCTGTAGGGTTTGTATGGCTTGTTCTTTTACAAATTAGGTGTTCCCAAAACATTTATTAGCTAATTGCACAAGTTTTGCTAATGAAACCTGACGATACTGCAGTATTGCAGATCCGCAGTAAATGAATCCATCCTCAGCGCTTCAGGCATGTGCTTCATCTTGTGAGCAAGATCACTGGTTTTATGACTGAACATTTATTTATTTTATGACTTGAATTTATTTTCTGAGTAGTAAATAAATTAATCAACTCACCAAACGACTGAATAGCAGTGCCACAACAACAATTCTGCTCTTGCATTTTAACTTAGTGTAGTTATGGTTTGTAAACACACTTGTGCTTGAAAAAAAGCCATTTCCTTCCTCTGGAAACAGATTATTCAGATTTTTTTACCCCAGAGCTGGTCAGAGGATGAGGGTGGTTCTGTGTCTCATCATTCTTCTTCTGTTTCAGGGGTCCTGGGGGTGGTAGACCTTGGCCAAACCCAACCAATGCCAATTCTGTAAGTAAATATTACAAATATATTTGACATCTCTTGTGTTTAGGGAAGTATCTTCATGCCAGGCCCAGCCCTGCTGTACCATCAAGGTTGTCCTGGCATCCTACACCAACAGGACATTTCTGGTATTTCTCCAGAAGGCAGAAATTCTTCATTTTTATTCAGGGATCATATATCATTAGTTTAAAAGTGTCCATTTTGGCACTGGTAGATGGATAAGGTGGATCTGGCTTGCCCTGCAAAACAGTTCTTCTTGGTTTTCTCAATTTTGGCTTTTTAGTTCTATTAGTGAAATTCTTCTATTTTCTTTTGCATATACGGAATTAAAATTGATATTTTTTAGCTGATAGTTAAAGTCTTTTCAGTCCCTGAAATCAATTGGCAAGTTCAGTAATAGATTTATTTGTAACAGTAGTTTGGCTGACAAGTTGTCTGTAGAGAAATTTGTGTTTGTCAGTGCACTTGTTGCTCCCACAACAGCACTGGCCTGTGTTCCTTTGGGGAGAATAACAGCAAAGGCAGAAACAAAGAAGAAAACAAGATTATTCACAGGATTTCTCCAGGACAGTGTCCTTCAGAAAACATAAATAAAAAATGGGAATAAATACCAGTATCTTCTACCTTGAAAGATGTGGTAGCTTCTTTGCCTTTTGTGGTCAAGATTGTATTGAAAATTAGGTATCTCTCAAGAACATTGAAATTCAGTTTGTGCTTGGCTGACTGAAGTCCTGCTGACTGAAATACAAGTATGTGCTGCCTGAGTCCATGCACCTAATAAACTACATTGCCTTAGTAATCTTATACCTTAACATTCTAATACTTCATTGGTTTTTAGTCAATTTTTTGGAATTGCTGAAAAGAAGTGTTTATTTTGACAGCAGAAGCATTTCCCCATGATTTTAGCTGTGTCCTTAGTCACTCTGATTGAATCAGCTCTCACCTGCAGCTGCAGGAGCCCATCCCAGCACAGAGGGACCCAAAATCACTGTTTTTTCTGTTGATGTTACAGATCCCTTATTCCTCAGCCTCTCCTGGGAACTACGTGGTGAGTGCCTTTGTGTGTGTTTGTTGGACATCACCCCTCATTTGGGCAGAGAAACAGCAGCCCAGATGTTGAGGGGAGCCCCCGTGTGCTGGCTGCACATCTGGCCAGCACCGAGGTGTCCCAGCCCCTCTGGGGCAGATGTGGGTGCTCAGGATCGTTGTCAGCCTGCTCCGAACTGCCCTGGTGCTGCCTCACTCCAGAAAAAACCTCCTGCCATGTATTGTCCACAGTAAGGAAGGACAAAAACCCCCTGGCTTTCTCAGAAAAGCCATGTTGTGGGAGAGTTTTTGAACTTCTGCAGGAAAAAGGTGTCAGTGTGTCATGCTGGATTTTGTCTCTGTGACTAGAGATTGACTTTGTTATTTTAGACTCCCTATTGTTGTTGTTGTTGCACTCACGTTATCTGTATGGCTGAGGAGCTTTTCCCAGGCAGATCGTTCGCTCTGTTTTTATCACATGCACAGGGCTGGTGTCACAGGGCGAGGAGGGAGAATTATATAATTAAAAGCAGTTTATTTTGTCATTTCTTAAAAAATTTAGATGGGAGAAAAGTTATGATTCTTGCAAGTGTTTGTGTCTGTAGGCCTCATTTTGTCGCAGCTTGGTGGAAACAGTCAATATTTGCTGTCTCCAAATCAGTTCTTTCAGTGCAGAACTTCACTGGGCTCTCTCTGCTTCAGGAGGTTTTGTGGGTTTGCCACATTCTATTGTTGAAGAGTTTAAAGACATTTTGGGAATATTTGACTCCATAGAGAGCAACTTTTTGGGGATGAGGGATGGGCTGGAAAACTCCTAAAAAAGGTTTTTAGTGAAAAGACTTGTAATCTGGAATTACTCACTTTGAGAACTTAATAAGATTAATCTATATATAATATATTAATATATACCGGTATAAAAACTTATCCACTAATATAGACATATATATAATACGTATAAACATGCAAATATCTACTTTTTATACATTAATAACATTATATTCTCAGAGTGAAAATAGTTGAAAACAAAAAACTGTCTAACAGTGAAAAAAACACAAAGTAAGAGCAAATTTAAAATGAGACGAAAAAGTTAATGAGGACAAGTAATTTCTCTCATAAATGGTCAGTTAGTTGTTCCTACATCTTTTCATCAGATGTTTAAAACATGCAGACAGAGCCCTTAAAAAATCAAGTAAGTGAGCTTAGTGCACAGGTATATAGAGAGCCCGTGATGCCTAGGGAGTCATATGGGTTTGGATAAAATGTGGATATAAATCCATGGATAAAAGTTTATAGGTAAAAACTATATGGACAGGTATCCTGTAAGCAGACAGAATACCCAGACCTTCGTAATCACTGCCACTGAAAAGATATCCCTGTCTGAACAGAGTATCTGCTGTTTTAAATGATCACAAAAGAGGTAAAGTACAGTAACATCCATATGGCAATGAAAATTATAATTGTTTCTAGCAGTTATGTATGTTTTATTAGAGAAAGTCAATATTTATTTGTGTAACAGCCAGAGCATTTTTTGTTTCTTAGTCTTGATCAGATTTGTGACACGGAAGAACCCAAAACTTTAAAAAATAAATGTTCCTTGATATGGCGGGGGGGGTCTGTGTGTCTGTTTTAGGTTTTTTCTGACCTTTTAATTCATGCTAACTGACAGTTTTTACTCTCCCCAGGGTCCTCCAGGCGGTGGAGGGCCACCAGGAACACCCATCATGCCCAGTCCTGCAGGTACTGAAATACACTTGGAACTAGCAAAACAAAGATTTTAGGAAGTACGCTTTTGGGGGTTTTTTTTAATAATCAAATAACAAAATTCTTGGGTCTATATTTTCTGTATCACGGGGTTTTTTTCCGTACTTGCTACTTGCTAACCTCTCCAGCACAGGAGGGTAGGGAATTTTCCTAACTGGCCATAAAAACTTACTGCACCAGTACATTACTTCATTGAATACAATTTTAGGGATTTAGATACATAAAAATAAAAATGACAACCAAGCCAAATAAAACCCTTCCAAAAAATGAACAAACCAAAAAGGCAACCTAAGGTAAAGATATTTTGAAGTTCTGTGTTCCAAAGCATGAAAACACTTAGAAATTGGCCACCTGTGAGTTTTGCCCAGGCATTTACTCACCTGTGAGACCAGCAGCTCAGAGCTTCCACAGGCCAGCCCTCCCTGTGTGTTCTGACATGAGCCAGGACAGCAGACAGGTTTTTCCCAGAACTTGAGGACAGCCAGGGGTGTGTGTTGCACAAGATTCTGGTGGACAAAGAACTTTTTGCCTGCCTCACTGAATACTAAAAATAACTTAACAGGCTGATTTTACTTCAGGCTAAAAGCCTTTCTGTTTCCCCTTTTCCTCAGACAGCGCCGTAGAATGTTCTAGTGATGTGTAGTGCTCTGTGTATAATGGAATTATTAGCTTGGATTAATGCTTAGAAAATCTTCTTGGAAATATTGATTAGTAGACAAAATCCTTGATTTACCTTCCGGTTGTGCATAGAATATCATTGGGTGTGGAATGGGTCTGGATGCAGAGTGCTGAGCTCTTTTTATTCTCTGTGCAGATACTGATTTTCCAGAGTTGCCAATATTTTTTTTTAAATCACACTGTCCCCTTAGGGATGTATACAGACTTTTGTCAGGTCATTGTCCTTTCAGTTTTTGTTATTTTGGTGTTTTTCTGCAAGCATCGCACTAGGCTGCACCATGAAGATGGATCAGCTAAAGCCTCCCTCAGGAGTGAAGGGCCTTTGCACAGTGTTCCATTGAAGACTTGGATATATTCAAATTCATATGGCCTTGACAGGGATGAGAGTAAAAAACTGTAACTCTCGGTCTGTGTAAGGAGAAGCTTTTTGTCATCTATTACAGATGGAAAACAAATTACAGGAAGTACTGATAAGAAACAAACTCCTGTTCTATGAATAATATTGAAGATGAGTGAAGACATTTAGAACTCCAGGAAACAGGATTTTAGGAATTCAGTAGTTAGAGATGCTTGGTGATTTATGTGCCTTTTAACCGTCATGCATAAAGCTAGAGCCCAGAAGCCGTCACTGGGGGACCATTGCAATTATTTCTTTGCATAGCCCTGTTGTGTGGCAGCAGTGGGTAGAAAGAGAATAAAATCTGCCGTTATATTGCCACTGTGTATAGCATCGAGGCACAGTAATAATATGAACAAAATGACAGGAAACGTATGAGGTGAGTAATTTGATTGAAAAGTGTATTTTAGCGCTTAAAATAATCTCTTATTGCAGATTCAACCAACTCTGGAGACAACATGTACACTTTAATGAACGCTGTGCCACCTGGGCCCAACAGACCTAATGTAAATATGAATTTTCTTACACCTTTCTTTCAGTAGTGCAGCCTGTTGTTTATCCAAACACTGTATTTCCAGCAGCTATCATTATTGCTAAGCTTTTCTTTTTTATGGGTGGCTCTTCAGTTATGGGCCTCTGGGAAAAAAAACCTGCCTGTAGAACTTAGAAGTAAATATATGTAGATATGCTAAGTCATTGTGCAGTAAATTGCAGATTGTTTGGCTATAATGGTAGTATCTTTTAAATGTGTGAAGAGCTAAATTGAAGGTTAATTATGTAATTGGATAGAAACTGCTCAAGTTGTGAAGGTGATGAGGAGCTTTTACAACTTAGCATAGGTCTGGTGGGGTTTGAAAGCTGTTAATTAATCACTGATGGATTTTAGGGAGTTATAAAAGTTCCCTATAACTCCAGTGGCGATGAGGCTGAGTTGCCAGCAGCAGTCTGAAAAGCCGTACAAAACCAAAACTGAAGTAAATAATAAATTATTACTCTATTGGATTCCAGCTTACAGAGATGACAGTCTCCAAAAATCGTGAAATTGACCCCAAAAAATGCTGGTTTTCAGTCTTCACAAGACACCTTCTCATAAAGGTCTGAATGGGACTTGGGAGTCTCTTCTCGTTCAGAGCTCAGGATTTGTCGTTCCTTTTTCCCCTCCCTTCTCCTGAGGAGCATTTTCTCGTGGTCAGGCTGTGTGATGAACAGCTGTGCAGTTACTAATGCTGCTCCTTTTGCAGTTCCCACTGGGGCCAGGCTCGGAGGGACCCATGAGCGGACTGGGTGGAATGGACTCGCACCACATGAACGGATCATTAGGTAACAGCAACAGGAAATGCTGGATTCCCAGCATTGCCCCTGCTGCTCTATGGGACCAATTCTGGGAGTTCTGGGGAAGACACTTTGCTAAAATGTGTGGAAAAATCTCTGTGTCCATCAGTGAGATGAAGGGAGTGATTTGAAGAGGCTGTGGCAATGAAAAAAGAAGTAATTGAAGCTCAGTGAGCAGACTTGTTGTGGACAATAACCATTCAGCAGAGCCTCTGTCTCCTGAAGAGAGTTCCTTTTTTTGTTTTAGGAAACATGTCCCGGGCATTTTGGATTACTTTATATAGGGACACTTTTGCAGCCTTTCTTTACCTATTTCAATCCTAAAAGGGGTAGTTGGTTTAACTAGTAATGATGCAAAATTGCATTCAAGTCAATGAAAAACTGTGTGAGGCTGCCACACCTTTTTCTATCACTTTCTGCAAGCTGAGAATTTTCTCTTCTCAGCTAAAATGAAAAATTCAATTGCAACTTATGGGAGGATTTTACATGTACCTAGCACATAGTTTATCCTTTTGGGCTAGGACAAAATAACTCCTGATAACATCTATGTATCTGGAGTTTTTGGAGAGGGAAATCATATTCCTTCTCAGCCCCAGTTTACCTGGCTGTAGGAAGGAGCTGTTTCAGTCTTCTCCCACAGCTCCATTTCTGATGGTTTTGCTGTGATCTCTTCTAGTTTTGTACTCAGTACTCTTCCAGAATTTGTCTTCCCTGAAAATACATGTCTTTTGCTGCTAAAATAACGCTTTTCTTTGTTCATGTATCCTAAAATTGCATTTCCCCTATTCTCTGCTTTACCTGAGGTGAGGGCTACAGCATGTGAAAAAAGCCCTCAGTTTTCAGTTGTCTTGCACTCACTATATTTAATTTCATTTGGTTTCCATTACTGTGCTCATCAGGATCATCTGTGTTCTTCTAAGAGATACTCAGTACATGTAGTGCAGCAACAGTTGATGGAGCCTCAGACTAATTGAGTGGATTACTCTGTACCAAGTGTTAACTTTTACTAAGTTGGTTATTCTGTAAAATGTTGATGTTGCACTATGTATTTTCTGTGGAAAAAAAATAATTATTGGATTAGCTTCAGCTCAAAATTTACTGAGCAATTGTCTGTTTTAATTTCAGGCTCAGGAGACATGGACAGTATTTCCAAAGTGAGTATCTAATCAAATATCTGGAATTTTTAGAGTGTTTCACTCTAAACTCATCTCCTTTGTCTCCGTTATGAATCCTTTCCTTATACACATTTATTATATCATATCTATATTATATATAATTACCTCCAGTTCAAAATCTGACTGAGGATGTTGTAGTCTTTGGTGCTCTTAAAATAAATGAAACCAGTTCTAATAATCAATTCCAGTCAAATGTAAATCTGGGACAATCTCCTTAGGGTGTTGCAGGATTTGGTTTGTCACCTCTCTAAGGTAATGTTAATATCTTAATCCTCAGGATAAATTTCCAAAAACGAGATTAAGAAGTACTTTCAGCAGAAGCACTGTTTTGATGCCACAATCATTACATAGCTGGAAAAGGATGTGAGTTTAATCTGCAGGGATTTTGCATCTACAAAAATAATACTTGAATATGTTACTTCTGTAAAAATAAAACTTCTGTGGATGTGATCATCATTAACTTAGGAATTAATGAGCCGATGTAGTATTGGTAAAGGGGCATAAATAAAAAGGACCCTGTGTTCTTAAATTTTATAACATTTTCAGACTCTTCATGATGTGAAGTGATGGATGGAAAAGACCACATTGCCTCAGCTGTGCTGTGCTGGGCCGTGCAGTGAGGGATTCACTAAAAACCTCCTGTGGGATGACCAGCATACAGCACATTTTTATCAGAGTCTGTGGTTTTTCTTCACTATCTTACTGGAAACTGCAGCATTTTTAAGGGGAAAAAATCCAAAACATTTCCATTCCCATGGGATAATTTTTAAAGCCTGTATTCCCCTTTTAGTTGGTCAGTATGTGCTGGTACAGGTATCAGCAGCTCTGAAAACTTGGATCCTAAACAATTTACCTAAAAGTCTCATAATATGTTAGCCTGCATGAATAACTCATGGAAGTAACTTTTGATCTATGTGTTTTTTAAACAGGTAAAATAAAATTGTTAATTTTGCCTGTAAAACAGCTGTCCATAGAAAATGGATCCAGTCCTGGCAGAATCAGTACAGCTCACAGAATTCATTGCTTTCTAGAGAAGATTTTGACTACATTAGCTGAATGGCAGAGATAAAGTTTTTTATGAACTGAGCTCAGACAAGGGCAGTAAATGAACTGAAATGATGCATGTTAAATAAAAATTACCAACCTGCATTTATTGCAATGCCCATGGAATTTGTGCAGGGGTACCCTTGCTTTGGAAAATCCCAGTTGGAGCTATAGTGCTGGACCTCAAGTGGCCACAAAAGCAGCCTGGGGCAGTCACTGAAATGGGATTTTTCAGGAATTTGGCCCTTTGGGGCTGGAGTGCTGCAGCAATGGCAGAATGCCAAAGCTTAGTTCTACACAGAGCAACATGAAACAGGGGGAAATCCCCCAGGAACAAGCAAAAGCGCAGGAGCGTCACATAAAATAAATGAGGAGGTGTGTATATTCCTGGATGCCAAGGCCACGGGAGGGCTGTGGCTGTGCAGCCTGAGCTCCTGTGTAACTCAGGCTCTGGCCTGCCCTGAATTGATGCTGCTCATGAGGGCACAGCAGCAGGGGCAGAGCCACGGCCGTGGGTGCAGCCTGCTCTGAGCCATGGGTCCCTGGCGTGCTGGCTGCACTGCAGAGCAGCCTTGATTGACTGATGGATGTCAATATTGGTATTGTTCCTGATGTCAATAACCTCGTCAGGCTGCAGTTGTCTGTGATGGACGTGCTGTCCAGTGGCCTGAGGATCTCAGCTGTGGATGTAGTGAATTAGGCTGAAGAAAGCAGAAGGGCTAAGGCAGGGCTTTGACCCAGCTCTCTGCTCTGCATTTCAGATGCTGGTACAGAATTTCTGCTTGTAGGTCATGTATGTAATTAGTTTGGTATTTATATTTATATTGCATTCCAGTTTTCTGAATTAAAAAAAAAAAATCCAAGGAAAGAACTGTGATAGATGTAAGGATTTCATTATGAGGTCCATGGTTTCACTGCTCCTTTTCCCTGACTACTCTTTTGCCATCATGAGTCCTCTGAGTAGGAGATGTAGATGTGATGGAAGGAGGATTGCCCGTGGTCCAGGCATGGCAGGGTGCTGCAAAGCAGCTTTGTAAGAGCACCTGACTGATGGTAGTGTGTAAAATAACCACGTGTGAGCTGTTGATGCACAGTAATTTCTGTGGCAATTACCTTGTTTCAGCCATTCTGCTTCTGGAGTTGCAGAGGTCTCTGTGCACTTCTGTAAGGAAAAGAGTAACAATGAATTTTTGGAAGGCTTTAGACTGTTACTATTTCAGTGAATTGTGACGATGAAGAGCAGCCCTCAGTCCGCAAAGGTCCGTGCAGACCTGGTCCATCCTGCCTTTGACTACATCTTTTGTGTATCTTTAAGTACATACCCGTAACTCACACGTGTCAGGGCTCACAGATGTGGCTGCATTCAACCACGTGATTTAATGTGGTGACAGAACCTCCTCACATCCCTGCTGCAGCCTTTTACAGCTTTTCTTGACTTCAGCAAAAGCAGATGCAGGCTATAGCCTGAAAATGAGGCACAGGTAAATAATCCTTGCTTCAGGGAAGAGAACATTACTTAACAGACTAAAATTAGTGACTGAATGATGCAGAACCCTGCTGGGGCTGATTTCTCATCCTTGAGAGGCCCAGGGCACCTGAGTGCACCAAGTTCTGTGTGGAGCATGCCCTGGGCTCACCTGGTGAGGCTGCAAATGAACCTGAAGCAGCACTGAATCTGTATTTTGTAATCTTTTTTAACAGAACTCTCCCAGTAATATGAGCATGAGCAACCAGCCTGGCACTCCCAGGGATGACAGTGAGATGGGTGGAAACTTCCTAAACCCTTTTCAGAGCGAGAGTGTAAGTATCCCATTACCTGGCTTGTTGGATTGCAGAGGTGAACATGTATCTGTGGTCTTTTGTTTAGAAAAAGAACCTTTACAAGTTTTGTAGTGTGCTTGTAGTGCAGCACTGTGGTCTTGCATGTTTTTTAATAGTTTCTGAAAGTACAGCATTGATTTGAATAAAAAATGCTGCGCAAAAGAGAGCTGAAACTGGAATAGGTGGGAGGCGTAGGATTACTGCAGAAACTCTTAGGGCCACGAGGTCAGTGCAAAAGCAGGATTTACACTGAAGTATGTGATGAGAGCACCAGCAGATTCCATGTTGCAGTGTGCTGTTACACCCATAAAAGGCAGAGGTTCCAGTAGTGTTCATTCCGGGGGAAATTATGTTGTTTTTATTTAATATATGGAACGCTCAAAGCAGCAAAATGTATGTAAACATTTTAGAGAGCAAGAGCGTGGTATTGTCATACTCATGTGCCTGAGGCTGGGTTTGTAAATCCACCTCCAGGTCCCTAAATAGGAGTGTACCCTCATTGCCTGTGCCAGTGGTGACCTGCTGCTGAGTAAACAGCTTCTGTTAGATCTCAGCAGAGTTGAGTTCCATGGAAAATTTCCTGGGAATCTGATTTTGAGGGGTTTTGGGAGGGTTTCTTTTTCAGGTAGTGAAAAGGAAGAGTTTCTGCCAGTTAGCTGTTGGTGGGCACACATTCAGGTTGTGTGGAGTGCTGAAGAAAACTGTCATACGCAACCTAGAAAGAGCAGAGTTTAATATCTGCCAGAATGGCAGAAAGCACAGGGGCTCCATGAGACACGGTCCCTGCTCCTGGCACTCCTGGCAGCCCTTGGCTCCCAGCCTGGCACGCTCTGCTGCGCTGAGGGCAGCCAGGGTCACTGGCACAGGCCCGTGGGAACCAGAGGACAGCAGTGGTGCTCTGGAGAAAATCAGTGTTCTCAGACCCTGCCTGGGCTCTGGGTGTTTTTGTGCTGCCTGCAAGAGCCAGGCACTCGGATTTCTCAAGGTTTTGTTGAGATGTGTGCCTGCAAGGCAGGAGTGGCACATGCCAGGGGTGTCCCTGTCTGCTCCCAGGGACTGCAGGCTCTGTAACGTGGATCGCTCTCTCATCCTGGGGGACTGCTTTGCTTTCTGATCCATGTTTTGCCATTTGGCTGCTCAGAATAGGTGTTATCATGCAGTCCTTTCTCAGGGAGATTTGCTGTTCAGTTCACCAGGAATTTTGGTTAGGGGTAAGTAGCAATTCAGGGCTTACTAACAACTTGAAAGTCCTAAACAACTTGAGAGCATGCTTTCCCAAAGTGATTCTCCAGATCCCTTGGCTCAGATACAGGAGATTACTGGAGCAGGTGCTTTGCTTTAAGCCTCAGAGCTGGTAGTCAGACCTCTGTAGTTTACATTACAGGCAAGACCCCTCTAAAATACTCATTCCATATGGTTGGGCACTTGGAAATGGCCAGCTTGGAACTCAAGACTTGACGGGATACGTAGGGCACGTGTGGTTTTGCACCGGCAAATTTACCTTTCCTTTTCTTCTGTCAATTTTCAAACTGCTAATCTTCTTGCATTTTAACATTTTCCTCTGCTTAGAGGATGTTAGACCAAATTAACTGTTTTTGCAGTCCACAGTTTTCAGTTTAAAAGCAAATTAGGTGTATGGATGTGCATTTCTTCTAGGCACTGTGGTGTCCCATTGATTACTTTAATGAAGCACCGCTAACCTGAGGGTAGCTGTAGCTTGGGTAAAGGCTGCAGTTCAGTTTGTGTCACTACAATCGTGAATTGTGGGGATTGGATTTTTGGTTCACATAAAGGAGAATGACCGCTGGTGATTCAGCTTGCCCCCTAAAATTGCTAACACAAAATAATACAGACCAAAAGCCTAACTGAATCACAGTCATACCTATCTTTGTTCCTTTCTTCCCCGAAAGCAATCAAAACCTCCCCAGAATCTTGTGTGGTTCAGCTGGCCACGAATGCAGCCAGTCCATTTCAGACCGGGCACCTGCCCAGGTGAATTCCCCAGCAGCCAGCAGTGGGCAGGAAGGGGAGTGGAAAGCCTCAGTGAGGGATTGGCTCATCACAGCACCCAGGGAACAGCAGAGCAGCCCTCAGGGGCATTGCCTTTCAGCAGCGGCCGTCTTGTGGCAGGAGAGAAGCTCAGCAGAAGTTCTGAGCACAAACTGAACTGCAGCCCCAAGAGAGGCTGCGGCACAGATTCAGGAGGGCGCCCCAGGAGCTCTGAACCCATTGCTGCCTGTGGGGGGGGGAAGAATGTTTGTTAAATTGTGATTGCTCTTTTTCAGTACTCCCCTAGCATGACAATGAGCGTGTGACCCGTTCGCAAGCGTCGCCGTGAAGACCACAGTGAGTTGGCCCTCCCCAGAGAGCTACTGCAGAAGAAAATTATTCGTCCCAGTGTACAGTTTAACTAAAGGATCTCAGACACAATCAGACCCACCTGTTTGTTTTTTTTTCTCCTACCATCTCCCCTGTTTTGTCAAGAAAGCGGGTCCCAAACACGCTCGAGACAACTGTAAGGAGGGGCATGAGAGAAGCGCCCGAGGTGGAGCTGCCAGCGCCTGTCTGTGTGTGTACATGTGTGGGTCAGCGTGGGGTGTGTGTGTGTGCCATCCAAACACACACACACACACAGACCCCAGGACACTGTCAAATAGGATCACATGACATCTTGCATAGAAATCAGAAGTAGGGACTTTTATTCCATTTTTTTTTTTTTTTCACGTTTACATTTTAATTATTAAAATTTGCTTTCCCTCTCCCATCCTGAACTGTTTTATGTTGCATATATCACTGCTTTGTAAGTTATTTTTTAAGTTGAACTCAAAGGATAAATTCTTTTGATTTTGTTAGTGTCTGCCATTATGGATAGGAATAAAATTGCTTCTACGAGCTTTCATTACCTTGTGTTTGATACCAGCTACCCTGTGAATCACAAATTGTACTGTCTCAAGAAATAGAAGAAAGCTCATCTTAATTTTTTGGAGAAATTTAATAACTTCCACCTAGTTTGGGGATTTTTTTTGATACTTTGCCTTTAAGAGAAAAAAAGCACTGAAGGTTATTTTTCTTCTTTAATTGAAGCCTAATATCTGCAATATCTATTTTAAATGAAAGCCTGAATTTGATACAAGCTTCTCAGTTTATATAGAGTACTATAAGGTTACTGTAAGTGAGCTCCAATTGCTATAGAATCTAGCAATAAAGTGTCAGGGGTTCTCCTGCCCTCGGAATTGAGTTTTCTATTTAGCATGGTCTTCTGTAGGGGTGGTAGTTAGTGGAAATACAGTAGAGTCCTTATCACCAAAACATTTTCCAACAACCTGCAATTATGTTTCCCATTTTCAGCGATTCTCAAACATATATGAGCAATCTGTGTTCCCGATTATAAACAGTATTTCCCAAGCCCATTTAGAAAATCAGGTCACCCTGCTGCTTGGGTGTGTGTTTTCTGCCATATCTGCCAGAATTAATTCCCACAAAACTTTCCAGTCAGCAGCCTTTTTTTTTTTCTTTGAGCCAAAATGCCACAGTAAACTTTTTATGACTACTAGCCTTGTTGTGAGGGTGTTACCTTTTGCCATGAATAGAAAGGAGCAAAGGTCTGGGTCCTTTTAGAGGGGGAACATACAGTTAGGTATGAAAGCTGGCGCCAGGATGCAGAAAAAGGCCTAAAGGAAACGCTTCTGGAAGCATTCCCATTTCTCTTGAGGCAGAGCTCTGAAACCAAGACTGTGGTACTTTTACTTAGTTCCTGATGATTTTCAGCTCCCCCAGGAAAACAAAGGTTTTCGGTTTGTAGTGATACAAAAGCTGATGATCAGCAATGCAGGCACAAAGTGGCTCAGCAGAAATTTGTGCCACAGACAAACAGCAAATTCCTCTCTTTGGACTTTAATCCAGAGGAGCCACTTGCAGAGCAGGAGCAGTTCTGGGATGTGGTATATCCATGTGCAAGGGGATTTTCTTTCATGAGCTTGTGATAAAGGAATGTCACCCATATGTGATGGGCTTGTGATGGTAGCTGGATGTGTAAGGAATTCTACAATCTCCTGACTCATTTTTATTTCCATATATTATACATATATGACATATGGAAATAAAAAGGTTTAACATGTTACTCTCCTGTTAGGGTTACTCAAAGATGAAAGTCTCAGAGGATCAAAATTACATTGAAGTATCAAAGATTTTGTTAGCGTTACTTTTTAGTAAGAACTACTTGATTAGATGTAAACATGACCTAGATAGTCGTTAGATGGTTTTGTAGGCTGTATTCTTATTGATTATGAAGGTCACATTCATTTGCTTCTCTTTGGAAAGCACTTTGTTGCTGTCTCCAGAGATGCTGGAAGACCCTGCTATTGGCTCGAATCACAAACACAAAATCGAGTGTAATTTCTTCAGACCCTTTGCTGTTGTCACTAACACCACTGGCGTGTCCCCGTTACACCCAGAGTCCAGGTGCCCTTGCAGCCTTGCTTGGCCACCTGTGTTATCTGTGGGCGCCCTCCAGGCACCCAAGGGCTCCTTCTGGCCCAGTTTGGTGTCCCTGCTGCTGGGCTCAGGGAGATGGGAGCAGTGCACCGAGTGCCAAAGGCCATTCCCAGGGCAGTGAGCTGTTGGGCACTGGGAAGGATGGAGTCTGACCTTTAAACCTGTGCATGGAACTGCTGACACAGATTGATATCAATATTGAAACATGTTCTCCTCACTTTGATACAGGAGCACAATGTCCTTTCAGCACGTGATGGATTCACTGTGTCCTGCATTTCTCACACCCACGCAGCCCCACGGGCAGCAGCTGGTGCCACTGGTGCTTTGTCCAGGGCTTTACCAGGCTCCAGGAGAGGCCAGGTTCTGCAGCTGAACCATTAGAAAACAATCCTTTGTGCTAATTACTCAAATTCTAAATTACACCTTTGGATCATTTCTTCCTTAATATGCATAGGGCTTTTTGCTTGTCCATTTCTCTTTCCTTTGCTTACAAATCCTTGTAGGATTTTCATGGTACCTGGAGTATCAATATGGGAGGACAGACTATTCCCAAGCACTCAGTTTTTGCTCCCTCTTAAATTTTTTATGCTCCAGATACGAGGAACAATGTAACTGCTGTTTGGTTCTGTTCTTTTGCAACAGCACTGTTGATAATGGCAGAACTTGTCCAGCTCTGGTAGGAATTTCATTTTAAATGGTGCAGGGTAGATCTTCTCACACTGGCTTTTTAGATGGATCTTGCTCTTTAGTATAGAAGTAAATAGAAGGTGATTCTGTAAATGGGTATTTCAGGCAGAGTTGAAGTAAGCCTTCTTAAAACCAGAAGTGATTAGATCTTAGAGTAGCAGAAACGGAGAGTGAGGGATCTGTATGCTGTGAGAACTCTTGCAAATATTCCAGCTTTGTAGAAATCACCTGAAACTGGATTCACCTGTGAACTTCACAGTGAAACCAGGGTCTTACCTGCTGCTCCAACCTATGGAGAGGAGCGATCAGATGCAGATGTATTTCCATGTCACCCAGATTTTATTGCCATCTCTAAGAGCAGGGTTTGAGGCAAGGAAGGAGTTTACCTGTCTGAATCACAGGTAAAGCACGTGGCCTGGTGTGCATTAACAAAGTCCCTGGATATTTGCACGCAGGGATTACATTATTTTCCTAACTGCCTGAGAATGAGGAAAACCTGCAGTTTGGAACTTGCACTTCCAACCCCCAGAAATTCCATTTTTTATTTGGAAGCCCTCTGGTTGCAGAGCCGTAGCCACCCAATATGTCACATATTCAGAGACAGAAACAACTTTCAGGCTTTCAGCCTGTTCCTCATAGTGTAGGATTAAATGTTCCATGTCCCAGGACATCCAGCTGTTCCTTTCCCTTACAACAGGAATACCCAATGAGAAATACACAGGCTAATCATTTATTTTAAATAATTCCACTTGGGAAGAAGTGGAATAGAACCTTGCTTCTTTAAGGATGCAGCAAAGGAAAGCTTCTTGACCTGCCTAAAACCAGTTGAATTTTCCTCTGTTCTGTGGCAATACTGCATGTGCAAATGATTTGGAATTAGATTTAATGAGGGACCAGCTGTTACAATATTTAGTGTTGATCACTTTATTCAAAAATGGCTTTTCAGCTGATACATATTACACAGGGTCCTACTTCTGTATCAGTTGTTTATTAAGTGCTCTCCCCTGTCCCTAGTCAGCTCTCATCCACTGTTGTTGCCATGGCTAAGTATGGGCTGGATTCTTCAGTATTTCACCCTACACATTTGCATGTCAAGAATGTAAAATATACCTTAATGATGTAAAACGTACAGGTAAATTTATTTTTCTTTAATTCACCATAAGTGGTGATAGAACTGTGGGTGCTGTCACAGACACACTTGGGTTTGATCAGGCCTTATGGATGGGAATACTGACAAAGCACATCTTTCAAATAAACCCCTAGAAACTACTTCAACACTGTTATCTCACAGTGAGGATCCAGTTTGTGATTTAGTGATTCAAAATAATTCTAGAAATTCAGAAATAAATTAGTTAGGTTTAAATTTTGCTGTTTGCAGCTCTTCCTACTTTTCAGATATTGGCACAGTTCTGTAGACTGCTGCTTGTGCCAGTTCTGCTGAAACGTTGATGAAACCATTCACATAAGGTCATTTTTGGGTAGGATTTCACCCTAGTCTGGGTCAAATATATAACTTACCTGTGGTGTAACATTATTTGGCAGATGTAAAAACCGAGTACATAGAGAAAAATACAGAGGGTCTGTTGAAATTACCAAAATGATGTTTCAACCTGAAAAATGAGAAAAGAGAGTTTAAAATACTGCTTTGAGTGCACTTCTGTATAGTGTCTATATATTGGAAACAAATTACAGTACCAAATCTAGAAAAAATAAACTTCTCATCTACTCAGCACATGAAAATTCTGATCCTGCCAACAGCTTCACCTTGATTTCAAATTGAGCCTGCACATAGTTAATTTTAACCAGATCTAAGAACAGGTAGTATCCTTCAGGAAATTAAAAAAGTAGCACTGTAGTAATCTAAACCCATGCTTAAACATGGGCAGTCTAGAGCTCAAATTAAGTCTTTCCTAAGCAGACATTATTTCACAGATTTTACTAGTGCAGGAGCCTGTTTATGTATCAATAGTACTGACATGCGGAGCAGATTTGGCTTTCTTCTGTTTCTTACTTTATTAGAGCTTTGTTCACTATTACATGAACTATTTCTGTGAATTTGTTCTTTCATCTTGTTTTCAGTTGTGCAGCCATAGTTTCCCTCCACACAGCACCAGCTTTGCAGTTTTAGTCCACACTTCTGTTTGGTTGCTGTTCATTTAAGCTTAAAATGTGTCAGAAAGCCTCTCATGTAATAGGAAAACTTGCCATCAAAATGTATAAAGGTTTTCTTGGGTACATGTTTTCAAATTTAATAAATGCAGTTTTCGGTTATCATTTGAAACGGTCACTTTCTAGCCACTATTTCAGTTTTGTGCGCAAGAGAAATGGAGAGACAAAAAGAAAATCACCTTCTTTTTCTTTCTTTTACTTCAGCATTGTAAATATTTGCTGAAAGACATGGCTCTGGGGAAATCAGATAAAAAAGAGATTTGCTGCCTAGTTGCTATAAATAATACAGCTGGACTTCATGCTGAAAGCTCCTTCCACGTCCCCAAAAGTGTACAGCTTGACATCCCAATTGCGAGACCTTGCACAAAGCTGAATTCACCAGCAGCGGTTGAATTTGCCTGGTCAGTGTTTGCAGCGTGTCCCGTGGATGATGCAGGTTCTGTGCTCTCAGAGGAGGGACTGAGGTCGGGCAGGCTGTTCCCAGGGTCAGGGGGCTCAGGCGTGGGCAGTTATCCACCAGAAACAAGGCGTTCGTTCGCTACCTCGCTGTTCTCTTGAGAACTTGCACAACAATTCTTGTTAGGTTCTGGGGATCCCTTCACCATTTTACAGTGCTGAGACAAGAGGCTGCATTTTGCTAAGAGAAAATTCTGGCGGTTTTAGCATCAGTTTTCATAGGGAAACAGCACAAAACATGGGGATTTTGAAAGGTGATGTGTTTTCAATAGCCCAGGAAATAGGACTGTACAGTCTAGGAGTTTGAGCTATTGCAGAGAAACTGAAATCTTCAGTAATTGTTTTTGATGGGGAAAACTATTGTTGTGGAACAACTGCTCTGACCCCTGAGGAGTCAAATTGTCAACTGGATGAACTGGATATTTTAGGCTTCACTTCTGTTGTTTTATTTGTCATGTTTTACCCTCTCTCACTTGGCCTTCCCCAGTAAATGTACTGTGCCAGATCTTTGCACAAAAATAAGAGCATTTTGCCCAACAAGCATGCAGGAAGTTGTTCATACCTGTAACTAGAGCCCTCCTGTCAAGAGTTTATTTCATTAATAGAGAGGAATTGAGCATAACACCAGATGAGGAGTGGCAGTGCAGCATCCTGAGAGCTCTCAGTGCTCGAGATGAGGACAGTTAGCATCCCACATACTCACAAATCAGACGAGATGGTTCCTAACAATGATAGAAAACAGCTTGAAAGAAAAGCTCATTTTTGTCTTGCAGATTGGATGAAAATAAAATTCCAAATACAGGATATATTTAATTGAGATAGAAATTTACTAAAGCTCTCTGTAACAGAGACACAGAGCACATCCAGCGGTTTAGAGGGAAAGCAAAGTGGTGTTATTAAATTGTTGTCAATAAGCATAACATCCAAAAGCAGGTATAAGCTATCTTCAATTTCATTTTTCTAGTCTTTTTTATTTTTTCTGATTATGTTGTAGTTTTTATTTGATTTGCATTTACATTAATGGATAAGGAAGAGAACACAAGTTCCCAAAGTGGGGCTGGAACGAATCAGGGCTAGAATTGGAGACACGGATGAGTGGCCTGAGTAAAGTTGGAGTTTTCTGTCAGTTATAAATCAAGTGAGTTTTTATATTACTATTTTTCCAGGACAAAAAGCATCCATACAATAAACTTTGGCTCTGTCATAGCTGTTTGAGAAGTGTGAATCCAATTGCTGTGTGTGCTTGGACACCAGTTTTGAGGGGATTTTTTTGGTTTTTTGCAAGTATCCCCTTGGAGTGCATCTGCTTTGTGCATGTTTGGCTAAAACCACAAAAACAAACCAGTTTTGTTTATATGGATTGCTGTACACGCATCTGGTTCTGGTGGAAAGAGGATGAAGTTTTGTTAGCTGGTGGGTTAGCATATTTATGTGAATTACTTACAGCATTGGTAAACTGCTGTCAACTTTGTTCACATTGCACAAGATACTCTGTGTTGTCTATTGCTGGTGTTATAACCTCGGTGATCCATGCATATCCTGTAAATTCCTGTAGGTTTTGTGTAAGAAATCTTGCCAC